CTACGGACTGGTGGGGATACGCGAAGCGTTTAGAACTTTGTTTCGGTTCGGTTTCGGGCCCCCGCGATCTGAAGATCCCCCAGGACGCCGCAATGGGTTTGAGGGGGAAGGCGTGGGACCCCCGCGCGAAACCATCTCCTCGTCCTCCTCATAGGGTTCTCCATCGTCATCAAAATCATCATCATCATCCTCCTCCTCCTCCTCCTCCTCCTCCTCATCATCATCATAATTCTCTTACTCCTCCTCCTCCTCCTCCTCATCATCATCATCATCATCATCGTCATCATCATCACCATCATCCCCATAATCAGCATCATCATAACCATCTACCATCACCATCACCATCACCATCACCATCAGCATCATCATCATCATCATCATCATCATCATCATCATCATCACCCTCATCATCTTCACCATCAGCATCATCATTATCACCAGCATCATCATCACCATCAGCAGCAACAACATCATCATCAGCATCATCAATATCGGCAGCAGCACCATCACCACCATCATCATCACCACCACCACCACCACCATCATCATCATCATCATCATCCTCATCATCATCCTCATCCTCATCCTCATCCTCATCCTCATCCTCATCCTCATCCTCCTCATCATCCTCATCCTCATCCTCATCCTCATCCTCATCCTCATCCTCATCCTCATCCTCATCCTCATCCTCATCCTCATCCTCATCCTCATCATCATCATCATCATCATCATCATCATCATCATCATGACCATCGTTACATCCCTCCTCCTCTTTCTTCACATGTGGTGGTTCCTGGTGCGCGACCTGCATTGTCTTCTTCCCTACCAGAGCCTTCTCTCACTTACCCAGGCCCCCCCACGCGCCCCAATGGATGCTCATCACCTACGTCAGCCGCTTCCTCACGCTCGGCGGCGAGCTTCCGAGACGCTCTGTGTCCCTCGTTGCGCTTTCCTCTCGTCGTGACTCTGCTGCCGGGCTCCGCGGCCCGCAGCGTTCCAGGTTGAGGGCAACCAGAGGGCAGGGCCCCGAGTCCAACGCCGCCAGCATTCCTGCGGCGGCGCAATCAGGTCGCCCAAGGTCCCGGTCCCCTGCACGTCTCACCCCTCGCGCTCCTGAGGCCAGCGCCTCGAGCGCGGGTGCGGACATGGCTGCTGCTGCACCCCCTGCACGGCTCAGCCCTCGCGCCGTCGAGGCCAGCGCCTGTGGCGACGCCGCTGCGGCGGCGGATGCGGCCCCCCCAGCCCCCCCCCCGCCCTCCAGGTCCTTCGCTGACATCGCTGCCACCCCCATCAAGCAGCTCACCCACCGGCACCTTGTGCTGGTCACGGCCGCCTTCATTCAGCTGAATTTCGGCAGGCCAGGCTCTGGCGGGTTACAAATACAAGTCCAACTCCGCAGACCCCAGCACGCACCTCGACAATCATCTCCAGTCTTTCCTCGAACACGCCTATGGCTTCAAAATGAACCCCGCAACTCATATACCCGCATTCAGGCTCCCCGATGGATACGACGCTGAGGCGGACACGCCCCCTCGGCATTCGCCAGACGCGTCAATGAGGTTCGGGCCACCCTAGGGCAGCAATGTCCGTGGAAAGACTGTCTTGCCCACGCATCCAAATGCGAGAAGCCCATCCTGCAGGTCAACCCAAATATAGTTCTGAGCCTTCCTACCTGGAAGCGTTCATCCAAGGCTTCGAGGAGGACAACTTTGAGACGTGGCGCTCCATCACGCAAGATGGCGAGCGCGCACGCGTGGGAGCCCTCACGCGAGGTAGGCGGCTCTCCAAGTCTCCCATGTGGGGCTGGCAGCTGGTCCCCCCATTCGTATTGCACCCGCGGCTGCCTGCCGCCTTCCGAAGCCCGCATCTGTGCCCCCCTCCCTGCTGCCTCCCCGATCACCCGCAGCAGGCAGGCGTCGCCGGCGGTCCCCGGCACCGCTCTCTTTCCTACTCCTGTGGGAAGCATCGGGGCGGTGCAACGGGTCGCATCCCTGCGCGGGCGTTCCCGTGATTCCACTCCAGACGAGGCTGTCCAGGGCCAGGGCGGATGCGCAGTCGGCCCCGTTCTCCCATCGGCGCCAATTCCCCGTCGAGCGCGTCACCAGCTCCCCCCAGCGTAGCAGAGCTGGTCAACAAAGAGTCCGACGCGAGCGATCCGCCTCAGCCCCGGTCCTCCATGTAGCGAGCTCCCCGTCCACTGGATGGCGCCCCTCCTGCCCGCCCCTCCGCGGTCACCATGCCCACCCTGACCGTCGCCTCTCCAGTGCAGTGGGAGCCCGGGGCCCGCGCCCCCCGCTCACCCACCTCCGCCTGCTGCCTCCCTGTCCCCGTCCGCTTTGCGTCCCTGCCCTCCTTCCCAACGCCGTCCCCCCCCCCTCCAGCCGCGGGCGCGTCCTCTGGCTCAGGCCCCGCCCCCGTCGTTTCCCCTGTTGGCGTCAACGATATGGGTCCCCCAGGCCCGCCGCCCAGGAGGCCCGCACAGAGCCTGGACGCTAGCAACGCAGGCCCCCCACCCACCCCGCCGGTTACACCGGCCACGTGGCTTGGCCCAGACCTCCCCGAGCCTGCCCCCCGGCCCCTCCACCGACGACGTTGATGCTCAGGTCCCACACTATACGGCAAACCGGATCTCCCAGCAGCGCCTTTCGGATCGCGTTACCAGGTGGGATGGCGGTTGTGGATCCTCACCCGTCGCAGGCATGGTCCGCGCATTTCTGGCACCACTTTGCCCCCACCCTCACTCTATTCGCTCGCGGAGCTCGACCAGGTCCTAGAGTCTCTCGCGTCCTCGGCCCAGGATGAGGCGCCACCCGCCGCCGCCGCTCCTGCTGCCCGCGGCCCCTCTGGCGGTGGCGGCGCAAGCGCCAGGAAGCGCCCTGCCTCTCGGGTGCCCCCGCAGCAACACCCACGGCGTCGGCTGTAATCCTGGCTGGCTTGGTCGCCCCACCAGCCCCTGCAGCTTTTGCGGTGTCCTCTGCTGGCATTGGGCCCCGTTGCTTTGCTACGTGTCCTTCTACCAGCGTCCGCTGGCCCTGGCACACGCTGTAATTGGCTGTATTTGGTCATGCGTGTTGTTTTTTGCCACGTCAGCCACGTCTGTCCTTTGTCCTCGCGCTTCCCAGTCGACCATCGGTCGCTGTCGTTTGTCGTCCTCCCGTACGCCCCCTTTTTCGTCTGACCCCCCTCCGTCATTCGCGCTGCTTGCTTCTTGCACGCGGTTTGAGAGCTCGGCCGGACCTAGACGTGCGCGCGTGACCGCTTAGCTGGACGTTTTCCGCCCTGTCGCTGCGCGCAGGGCCGCGACGGCAAAACAAAACATTGAACATTATGTGCGTGTGGGTATGGGAGTGTGTGAGTGAGTGCGCTAGTGTGTGAGTGAGAGCGCGATCGCCATGACCTGCGACACTCTGTCGGACCTGCGGACCCTGTGCCTGGATGTCCTGGATGCCAGAGATGCCAGTGATGCCAGGACGTTCAGTTGCCAGGATGCGAAAATGCCAGGGTGCGAAAGCAAGATCACTCCCAGGACTTAAACCGAAATGGCCTACAGTTGGCCCCGGACATTCGAAATCAGTCCCAGGATTGAAATCCGGGGAGCGTGCACCACCAGAAGTGGGTTACAGTTGGCTCCGGACGTGGAAAATCAGCCCCGGGAGTCGAGCTATGGGAGCACAAAGAGCTCGAAGTGGCTTACAGTTGGACTTGGACATGCAAAACGAGGCCTGGGAGTGGAGTTCTGCGAACTTGAAGGGCATGAAGTGGCAGTTGCCCCGGACAGTTGGAATCAGTACTGGGAATTTAGTTCTGGCGAGTCGATGCTCACGAAACCATGTTAGATTTACATGGTATTGCATGGCCGCCTCGGATTATTGGTACGAAATGTAACTTAAGCCCCACAGCGACGGAACTCCCGCTCGAGACGTTCTCGCGATTCGCTCAGACGCGAGGCTCCCGCTCGAGACTTCCTTAAACTGGATGCGTGAGTGTGTCCGTGCGTGAGTATGCGATGATGATGCTGATGATGATGATGATGACGATGATGATGATGAGGATGATGATAAGGATGATGATGACGATGATGATGATGATGATGATGATGAGGATGATGATGATGATGGTGGTGATGATGACGCTGCTGCTGCTGCTGCTGCTGATGATGATGATGATGATGATGATGATGGTGATGCTAATGATGTTGATTATGGTGGTGATGATGATGATGATAGCAGTGCTGACGGTAAGGATGATGATGAGGATGATGGGGATGGAGATGATGATGATGATGCTGATGATGATGATGATGATGATGGTGATGAGGATTATGGTGGTGATGATGATATTGATGAAGACAAGGATGATGAGGATTATGATGAGGATGGTGATGATGAGGATGATGATGATGGTGGTGATGATGATTATGTTGATGATGATGGGGATGATGCTGCTGATGGTGATGATGATGGTTATGATGATGATCGTGATGATGGTGATGAGGATCGATGATGGCCGATGATCTCCATGGGATGGTCGTAAAGACGATGATGATGCTGATGGTGATGACAGTGGCGATGTTAACCGTCGTGGTGGTGTTGACGGCGATGAGTATGAAAGGGATACAGGAGGAGAAGGGGTGAGGTCTCCTGCGCGGGGTGTGCAGAGAAAACGAGAGGCCGGCTTAATCAGGACCGAATGTAGGCAAACAAACAGAGAGAGGCCCGTCGCTGAGCAAGTTGTGACAAATCATTTTCGATCCAGAACTCCGACGACGTGATTTCTGGTCATAAGGTCGACCACCGAAGGTCTGGACCCTTCCCCCGGGACCGGCTTTTCATCCTAGGTCGTTCTTGATAGCCCCAGGTACCGGTGAAGGCCCCGGGAGTCCGAAAACGGCCAAACAGCTTCCGTCGTGCTTTTTTTGTTTCGCAGCGGATGGAGGCGTGGGTATGTGCAACGGAGCTGACTCTATCGGCGCAGCTGTGAGGAGTCGTCGCCATCGCCGCCTCGCTGTAGAGCTCAGAGACCGTGCCGCCCTCCGCGTCGCTGGCGGTGGCCGTCGGGCCTCCGCGCGCGTGCGCGCGGGGCTGGCGGGCCGCCGGGTGCTCTTCACCGCAAACACTCCACCAGCAAAAAAGCTGCATGCGTCGTGCGTCACTCTCGAAAATGCCGGCCACCGTCCGCCGCCACGCCAGCCGACGAGCATCGCAAGCTCACGGAGGAGGCACGATCGCAGGCTCACGGAGGAGGAACGACTGGGTGGGGAACGGGCGGGGGGCTGTGCGGGCGCCCTGCGCCGTCCTCCTCCCTGGAGGAGGAGGGAGGGGGTCCGAGGGGGATCCGTGTGTGCCCGAGCGGCCCGATAAGCTGGACACCTTTCCTTCTACCGCAGTCATCCAACACACACTCACACTCACACACACGCACACGCAGCTTCCCATTTACGGCATGGCCGGTGCCCCCATCGTAGAACTGCATGAAAGCGCCCTGCGGAATATGTCCGCTACTGCAAACCAGCAATACCAATGTCTCCAGCGGGCAGCCAGGCCCGCACGGGCCCGCGGCAACATCAAAGTCAAGGTTTGCAAAGGACTCATGAAGGCGGACTACCTGCGCGTTCACCCCTCCGCGTTGGCCATATCCCAACATCGACAAGACCTGTACAACCAGGGTGCACCCACACAGGGCGCGACTGAGTTGGCATCAAAGGATGAGTCGGACAGCGAGACCCCTTCCAACGGCTAGGAGGTCAACAACGGGGCGCTGAAGGAATCGCCGAAGGAAGACTGCGCCACAAACCATCATGGCGCAGGCCGAGCCCCTGGCGCCGCCTGCTGGCTCCGACTGGGATCGCACCTCCGACGAGTCGGCGGTGGTCCTGCGCTGCCGTGAGGACCTCCCCAACCAGGCCTTCCTGGACACGATCGGCCCCCTCGTCGCCAGCGCAGGCCTGACGCTGGTCTCGTACGTGGCCGAGGCTGCGGTGCTGGGGCCGCGCTGCGTCCTGCGCTTCAAGGGCGTCCCTGAGATTCGAGCTCGCCGCGCCCGCAAGGTCCTCGGATGCATGCGCATCGGACGGGGCCCGTGGCGCGAGCTTCGCGCTAGCGCCCCTTCGCGTGCGAATGTCCAGGTGAACGCATCGGCCGACTGGGGCCGCTCCCGGGGCCGCCCACGAGCTGGCTCTCAAGCAGCCCGCGCTGGCGCTGGCACGGGCGGTGGGCGCGGACAAGAAGATCGTCGTGGACGAAGCATGCCGCGCCCTCTCCATGTCGTGGAGGGCCTACGGGCGGGTCAGCATCGACAGCCCGACGGCCACCCCAAAGGTGCACTGGTCGGCCTTGGCGAGGCAGGAGCTGGGCGTGCAGCGCGCCGCCATGGAGCCCACGCTCACAGCGGTCCTGGCCCCACGGGCCGAAGAGTGGTCTCTTGAGCATCTTCGCCATGCTGTCCAGGACGCAGCACAAGGAGGCGAAGATGTGCTACGCCACGTGGAACGCCCGCGCCTTCTGCCACTCATGACGTCGACGCCCCGAAGAAAAATGCCACGTATATTCAAAGGGTGGTCCGTGCTGGGGAAATCATTGGCATGCAGCAGGTTCACAGGTAGGCCGCGAGGCTGCGTGCTCTAACTGATCGCACTAGCATCAAGCACTATTCGTTGCAGTTTTGCTGGGGACGGGAGGACGGAGAGGAGAAGGAGGAGGAGGAGGAGGGAAAGGGACGGAGGCGAAGAAGACACAGAAGGTGGAATAAGGAGAAGGAAAAGGAGGAACACCCGAATAAACCCAAAATGCGTCAACGATGCTGCCATACACCCTCCCGTCCCTCCCCTACTGATACGTCTCGCTCCACTGCGGGAAGCACCCCCTCTTGACAGACAGCACCCCCTCTTGACGAGCCGTCTTGGGGCCCTCTTGGGCGATCTCGGGCGCCTCTTGGGCCGTTTTGGGGCCCTCTTGGAAAAATCATGCGGGGCAGCCCAGGAACGTGCGGGAACGCCCGGGAAATTTGCACGCGTGTCTCAAAACATTGCGCGTTGTGCGTCCATCAGGCAAGTTGTTGCGAGGTCTCGTTACGAGTGGGACTCCCACTTAAGCGAGACCCCTGTTTTGGACCCACCTTCCATCTTCCAGCTCTGACATACAACAGGAGGTAGGGTTGCGCAAGGCCGAAGAGGCATCCAACGATAGCTCCGTGGTGGAAAAAGGCATGTCCTCGACCTGTGCAAATCTTGCACAACCTGGAAGTCATCGACACACAACTCGAATTATAAGCTCAGAAGATTTGCCCATTGAAATAGGAGACGCCCTCCATCCTTGCAGTTGCTGTGAAATAGCGAACGTCGGACCATACTATGCGAAGGGGTATCCAGCGGGAACGCCACCTAAAGCAACACGAATCACCTTCCACCCGTCTACTCTCGCCAAGTGTTTAAAGCACATGTGCGCAGCGCTACGGAGAGTCAAATGTTGAAAACGACCCAACTGGTATCCTCGTGGCTGCTAATGTTTACGTAAGGCGAGTCCGCGTGGCGCCATGGCGAGAACGCCACTTTGAACACCGCCTGAGCTCCATCCCGGAGACTGGACAGTTACAGCTTAGATCATAAGCGAAACGCCCAGACCACCTAACGACACGTTTGGCGGCGCGATGGGGAAGAGTGGCCCACTAGGAAGAGGAATGGCTCTTATGGTTTTTATGTACGTCGACATCTGGGGCGAATCACGAGCCGACGCGAAAGCATGTGCCTTGGCAGAACTACGGGAGCTGATTTGCGATCGGGGGAAAAACAACTCATCGCAAGTGGCAATGCCTTCTGGAGAAGGACGGCGGGGATGACGAGAAACAGGAGAAACCAAGGGATGGGGACGACGACGAGGGTGAGAACGAGAAGGAGGGCGAGAAGGACGGAAGAGGATATTGCAAGCAAAACTCTGCCCCCTCCTCCCGCCCCAGCACCTCCCCATGCTCTCCTCTCGCCCTTCTCCATCCACGCATTGGCGCATTGGCCTCCGCTCCCGCGATGTTCCTTCCTCGCGCCTCTCTTCCCGACTCTCTGTTGCAGTCCGCGCCTATTGGCCGCAACAACGAGAAGGCGATGAAGCCGCCGTCATCCGCGCGGTCAGCCTAGGGTCCATCGTGTGCCCTCTCTCTTGCGCGCACTTCGTCAATAGCAGCCCGCTGCGCAACCTTGCTGACACGGTCTGCGCCCTTCTGACCACCGGCTCCAAATCTGATATTGCGTATTATGATCGGGGGCAATAGGGAATTCATAGGGAGTCGCGTGGGAATCTTCGGGGATCGTCGGTGCATCATATCGGGGATCTCCAGAATCAACGGGGAATCATCAAAGAATCATCGGGGAATCTCCGGAGAACCAGAAGGAAATCATAGGCGGTAATCGTGGCGCCTTAAGGAAATCACGTGGACAGTTCAAGGAAGTCGCAGGGACATGGTAAGGACATCATCGGGGAACCATCGGGCATCATCGGGAGACCTTAGGGTACATGATGTGGGCATCATGAAGATATCTTCAGAAGACGACCGTGGAATTACATGGTAACATGGGAAGCACCGGAAAATCTTCGGGATGGGAGCATTGGGAAATCATGGGGGAGTCATTCACAAATCACAGATCACCGGGACAGCAAAACATAAATTAATGGGAAGTCTCACCAGAATCCGGCGACCCCTTGGGGTTCATCAGCGTGTGAGATGTTCCCCCCTCCGAACAAAAACCCTGCCCCGGGAGCCTGGTTTTGGAGAGGGGGCGGGTCCCCCGCGCCCAGGTCGAACGCATCATGGGTGGACAGAAGGCCCAAAGCGGGGCAAAAAAACCCTAAGAGCCCCCCCAGACGGTCCAAGAGGGCCACGAGTCGCCGAGAAAGATCGATCCGCAACGCCCACGCTGGCCTCCAGACGGCCCAAGGCCCAAGAGGTCCCCAACACGCTTCAAAAAACCCCCAATAGGCGTCTGGGCGTCCCAAGAGGGCCTCCAGGAACAAACATTAGCCAGACGAAGGACCCAACCATATGCAGCTGCGAATACCGCGAGGGAGATGAGACGAAGGACGGCGGGCGCAGAGCCGCGCTGGCCAGAACCGTGTCACGAACCATGTGAGGGGTGCGCCAAAATGAGGGTGGAACTGCATGCGAACCGGCGAACCCTGCCACTGACGCCTTCGGTGGAGCTCCCTATGGGGCCAAGAACCGTGTGAGTGGTGCGCCGAAGTGGAACTGTAGTTTGAAAGGGGTTGGGAGACCCAACCTGCAGCTTCGCCTCAGGCGAAGCCCAGCTCCAGCTCTGTTGTACCGTAGTAACGATAGTCCCAGTAGTAGGAGATCGTCGCGGGAGCGACGAATCATCTCAAGCAAATGCTGTTTTGGTCTCGATGGCAAATGGCACACCTCGCGCTGAGGTGTAGTCAGATCTGGGCGGCCAGCCGCTTGAGCACAAACGGCCGCGGACACACGCTCGTTACCTCTCGCCTGTATCCCAGCTCACTTCTGAATTTGGGGGGGGAGGGAGACGAAGCAGCTACGATGCACAAAAGGGCAGCAAAAGGGCGGGGCCGCAAGGAAGGTGGACCCGCACGCAAGTTGCCTTGCCTGCGCGTTACTTTGCATACGAGTACTCCTCAGGCGGCCGCAGACCAGGACGTGTGGCCAGCCCGATAAGGAGTATAACGCTTTAGGTCATGCTTGAAGGATTGCGTACCTCCCATGACCTGTAGGAGCATATTTCTGTCGATGCCCCCCTTTGTGTGACCGTCCGCGGTCATGTCACGGGTGTCACACCACTGAATACTACGCACAATTCCTCACTCCATCAGCTGTCGTATCCAACTGATGTGTCCCCAAAGGGTACACTCAGTCGGCTTCTTCAAGTTTTTGCTTGACAAGGACTCAAAGCTCAGCATATATGGTCAAAGTGGCCTTGATGCTCAGGTCACCCAACTCAAATACATCTTTCAACAGAGTGGGAGTCAGCGGCCCTGCATGGAGCTCGAGCAGAGTCACGATCGTGAAGTAACCGTCCTCCAAGTTGCGGGCTGCTGCTAGTGGCTCTGCTGAATAGCTCGAGCGGACCTGCAAGCGGTGAGACTTGCAGTACGCATCGATCAAGTGAACGACAGGTTTGCCGGATGGCGTGCTTCCACGCCGCAGCAGGTTTGCCCCGCGGATACCATAGCCTTTGACTTCGTCACCGGCATCCCCACTCAGGCGTCGGTAACCTAAGTCGCTGCGCAGGTCATCTTCGCCCGTGGGAGTCGACGCTTGGTAGACGGTTTTCTTAAGGCAGGACTGCAACTTCCTGGTAATCGCGCTCAGTCGTCGCGCTTGTATCTTGGTCGGTTCTTGGACACGTTGTAGAGAGACTACAGATGCCATCAACCACACCTGGGTGATCAATGCGTAAGCCAATGCGCCTCTGAGGCTGCCGAACATATCTGCAACCACCTTGGATGCCTCAGCGGCGCCGGTAAGTTCAGGATGTTGAATAGGACAGAGCTGTTTGGTCCAACGCGACATTGCCGCCCTCATCCTTGGTGTACCTTGCAGCAATTGGTATATGCTTGCCTGTTGAGTTTACACTTACCAAAGGTGTCCTCTACGCACTTGACGCACGTATCAATGGTCTCCTCGCTGCCGCCAATGTTGACATCATCGACAGGTTTGGCTGCGAGAAGGCCACCGCTCGTCTCGAACTCCTCGTCGCAGGACGTAGGTCTGAGACCGAAGCCTCTCGTGGCCCTTCTGAGCTTTAGCGAGGAAGCTCTAGGTGCGTCCTTGGCGCCGGTGCCTGGCTCGAGGCGCTGCAAGCAGTGCTTCGACTCGTCGTAGTGCTCGAATCCTGGGAGGGATCGAAGCGCCGTAGCCGGTCCAGGCGGCAGAGTAAAGCACGCCGCGCGTTCTTTCTCACCAGTTGCTTCAGCAAGTTCCTGGTAGGCCAACCCTTTCAGAAGGGCCATGCTGATGTCGAGTAAAGCAATGACCCAGTGCTCCTTGCATGCTGCCGCGCTTGCGAGTAGCCTCTGGCTTGGCCGCCGTGCTGCCCCTGAGAAGGTTTCCACGTTGAAAGCTTCAAGGCCCATGACTCCTCGAAGAACCAAACGCAATCTGATGTTACGTTCCATTTCGCCCTTCTCGTTCTTCACGAACTTCCACTTATGCACCTACCTCGAAGTCATGACGTTTGACGCTGAATATTTATCTTGCATGTTGAAACACTGGTTGTCAAACCATGTCGCAAGCTCAGTGTAGAAGGCCCTCGATACTTTCTCGGGATTCGCCTGAATGTCAGCTTTCGCTAAGAGGTCGTCTTCCTTGACGACCACGGCTCGCTTTGCAGCGGCGGTAACATCTACTCGCATGGTGGTCATGCGGTCGACATCTAATATCCGGTGCTGTTGTTCGGATCGGACTACCTTTGACATTTCTGCCGTGAAGCAGAATTCTACATATTGTCAGTTTTCGTCTGAGTCAAATCCGTAAATGCAGTCTTCGACCGTGGAGCATAGTGGGACATGATACATCTCCTCGATATCGGAGTCGCGTGGGTGTCCCCACTTAGACAGGTGCCCCCGCTGTTTTTCAGCTACAGTGACCAACGCACTGTTGTCAGGAATCATATGTGCGGGTGCAGTGTAAAGGTCGTCTCGTGGAGCTGCCTCCAGTAGTTCAATTTCATCGTGTAGTTCTGTATGCCACACTTCCATGATATGTGCCTCAAGGTCCGCTTCCGATTCCTCATATATCGTGGGAATCCGTCCATCCTCCTGCGGCGGTTCGGCTTCTGGGGATTATCCGGCGGTTCCGTTTTTTGTCGGCGTGTCCATAAATTCCTCAAGCGTTATCATGTATTGGTGAGAGACCGCCTGAGGTTTGGCGGACTTCAGGCACTGGGTGATTCTCGAGTGCGCTGATTCATGTATATCATGAATATTGAGGGCGGTGCCTTCTGCTTCATAGTAATGACATCCTGGATTATGTCGTAGAGTGTCTCCCCGCAGGTAGACTGGCCACGAATGTCAACACTGTCCATCGCGCAGCGTTGTCGGAGCCGATCTCCCTGGCTATCAAAGCTTCGATGTAGGAGGAATGTCGTGCGTCACCGCATTGTACTTGAACATCGCGGTTCCCCACTCGAATGATGACCTGACCCATGTCGGGGTCATTTCTGACGAAGGGGAACGGGCCATTCCAGCCTCCCCGGTCGCCCCTCGTGGTTGCGGGGCGATGATAGTCAACCAAATCTCCTTCATCGTAGTATTGCTGACCGGATATACTTGCCTTAGTGCGTAATGCACGAGTTGTCTTGGCTACTGCCGTGGCCTGTGTGATAGCTTCAATGCGCACCTCACGTATCACCTGCTCTTGAGAATGATCCGACGTTCCCGTCGGCTGTTCGTGATCCAGAACAGGCAGGTCAGGGAGCATTGCTGGTTGCCGCCCAATCAAGGCGTTGCATGGAGACACCTTACTGTAGAAGGTGAATGCGTTGGCGGCAAACAGGGCTTCATGCAGTAGTCACGCGAACACAAGATGTCTAACCTGTTGAGCTCAGCTTCCACGACGTGAAGTTGATGGCGTAGTAAGCGATTTATGGCTTCAATCGTCGTGGCGCGTTGTTGACGCGCGCGCATCCTCAGCTCAGCGCCCTGCGCCCTAAGGACTGCTTTCGCAGTGTCGTTGTTAAGCCCCCCCCCCATCGGAGAAAAGTACCTTGGCAAGTCCAAAGTGCATCCGACACTGATGGTGCGCATCCAGGACACTGGTCATCGTCTTATCCGGTATCTACATTCCAATAGCATAGCGAATACAAAGATCGATGATGTAAAATATGTGTATGTTCTTGTTTGTAGAACATGAGGTCGCATTCAACTTCTTCGTTAACATTGCCAGGCGGTGCAGTGGATGGCATATCCCCGCGACCAGGCTTGTCCCGCGCCCTGCGCTCCCGACATGCGTCGCAGACACCTTTGATCAGGTTGAGCCTGGCGTTGTCCAGACCTGCCTTGGTTAAGATGAGCCTCGTCTTAGGTTCTTTAGCACGGGGCCAACGAAGGTGTAGCTTCCGCAGCTCGCGCGTCACCGCGCTTGGGGCAAGGCTTCGTCGATTTTGT